GACCGTGGGCAGAACACTTAGTCTGGTTAGCATTTTTCAGGATTTTTTTTAAAAAATCCCAACACAATTGCTGTCACAACTATAGTTTGTTTCTGATCAAAACAAATTCTGTTGAATTAAATTTTAGCACCAGAAGCTTTTTTTTACCTTCCTTCTTTAAAGATATGGAGGGTTTCATTCCTGTGAAAAATAGCTTAAACATTGGAGAGTTTTTGAAAACATGGCAGTTGTTGAATTTGGAGATAAAATAATATATGACAAGCCAGGACTGTTGATGAGACGCATCTTTAAAAATGTTCGGTCAACACAGGGGACTGATTTTTTAAAATCAAGATTGGACTATCACATGCACCTTAATCACTGGCCTGCCTGGCAGCCGTGCTTATCTATGATATCAGTAGAAAGAAAGAAAAAACTACAGAAGTGTGGAATTCAAGGTATATGTAGAATGAAGAGAAGAATACATGGAAATATTATAGATTTGTTGCATAGAAAATGTTTGCTGATGAGAAAATGCAAGTCGAGAAGCAATGGGAATCCAACAGGAGAAACAATAAGAATTTTTTTACTGACAGAGAATAGATGTAGGAAGGCAAAGGACTGTGTATTCCAGGGAATGCTGAAGTAAAGATGGATGGAATACAGTATGTTGAAAGTATTTGTGAAATAAAAAAACTGAGCAGAGTAGCGGACTTGGTGACCATCAACAATCCTGCCTTCTATCTGGATGGAGAGATGGGATATACATTAAAATAATATAAACCAATCTTGATACCAGCTTGTTGGTTCCTTAAGAGACATGAGCTTCTGTAGATAAGCTGTTTCTCACTCAGCAAAAACCCTTATCTACACAATTTCCAGGTTACTTCATGCTTTTGTTAATATGGACTGCAGCTTATGAAAGCACGGCTCCAATAAATCATATAGGTATTAAGGTATCTTTGTCATTGTTGCTTCAACAGACTAATGAGGCATTTGGATTTTTGGCAGAAATAACACAAGCTGAATTGTTTCCAAAAAAAAACAAACCCTGTGTATGCAAAGAGCTCACAAAATGTCACAGTGGGATTGTGTTGTGTAGCAGATCTCATGCATCTGGTTGTGCATGCAAGGAGAAAAAAACATCCTTGGCTTTACTTTGTATGATTGTACAACATCTTAGGAGTAGATGTTTTCCAGATGATTTTTAAACTTTTGGCCCTACCAATGGACAAAGTGATTTGGAATGTAATGGCAGAACAACAAGCTGCCGAGTCACTTGACTAAGATAGGCAACTGTAGAAATGAAATGAAATGAAATAAATAAAAACAATTTGTCAATTATTATTTTTTAGTGAAAATGTTGTATATGGTAGAGAAAATACAATGCGCCAAAAGTTTTTTTTTTAAATCTTGATATTAGAATCATTAAATCTATATGGGTTTTTATCACATATTACTCACAAGTTTGTGCACATTATGTTGCACTAAAGAAAACTTCTGTGTATTGTATGGATTTTGGAATAGAACAGAATATGCTTGTTCGTAATCACGAATGTGTGGCTCTCTGGTAATTCACATGTTTCTATAACCTGGAATTTCCCCATATCCCTTTTGCCCCCCAGCCCATCAAAGATAATGCTTTATGGAATGACTCTGTATATCCAAGTAGCTTATGCTTTTAGAAAGCTTATTTTTTAATTTGGGCACCTCATACAATTTCACCTAGGTATGGGATTGAAATGGCATTTGTTCACTTTTAGATGGTTTTTGGTGTGAGCATGATGGGAGCAGTGCATCCATCCTTGGTCTGTGACTTTATAGAAGCTATGGGAAACCAGCCATAGGATTGGTCAGAACCAGTTGGGCCTAGTGCTTAAGGCAGTCTAGTCACCAGGAGTCTGTGAATTCTAGTTCTGCCTTAGGTAGGAAATCTGGCTGGGTGACCTTGAGTGAATCACATTCTCTCAGATCAACCCACCTCATGTTGTTGTGGGGAAAATAGGAGAAGGAACTATTAGATACGTATGTTCGCTACCTTTGTATTATTTATAAAAATAATAAAATTGGGGTAAAAATAAATAAATCTTTATGAATCAACTCCAGGGATTGGGAAATAATGGAGTTATACAGAGATATGTCTAGGTCTTTTTTGTTGTTTTTGCTGAAAATGACACTTGTACAAGAGAGTGAGGCATGGCCCATTTGCATATGTGGTTTCTTTTTTTTGAAGGGGAAATACTTTCTTCAGCTGAGGGAGGAACAACACTGCTGGAGAATGTTCATATTTCTTTGCTAAATTCTTGATTGACAGGGGTGAGAATGTTACAAGCACTCACACTTGTAAGAGCATATTGCATTCAGTCCTTAGGGATGAATAACCAGGGACTTTCTGCCATCTTTGTGCTTTTGATCCTATCTTGCCCTACTGGCTCTTCTTTTTCTCCAACCAACCTCATCTTGCCTTTGCCTTTTGTCTGCTTCCTTCTCTCCTGCCTTGATCTGAATTGATTTCACTGGAACTTGACCTTGCCCTCCATTAGTCTCTGCACAAGTATTGCCTTAGATTATGCGGATTCTTTGGCTGAAGATGTGACATATTGTCCCTAGTGTGCCCATTGGGGCGGAATACCCTTTTAATTTATGTAAACTTGCAAGGAAAAAAAAATCAAAGGGATACTAAATGTGCAGAGTACGAGTTAAACATTCAGAAATTAAAGGGAAACAATAGTTCTTATTTTCTCACAGTATGTGTATAGAAAAACAAAACAAACCTTACTACTGTATGTAATACTTATAACATTGCCCAACATAATCTTTGATGCCTCTTTTACTAATCTCTATCCTTCTTTGAAAATATTGCGTTCTCTTTGTCTTTAATCTTGGCAAAATCACTTTGCAGACTGCTAGAAACCATGTTTTAGAAAATTACTTTTTAAAAAACTTACAGGATGTTTATCATATGCCCATTATGTTGTTACTGAAATCAGAATTTTTCCTCCTGCAGCTTCTATCAAGAAGAGGCTCAGAAACCATCATTCAGTATAAAAAGCCCCTTCAGGAGCAGCTTACAAACCCATAAGAAAAGTTTCACCAATGTATTGTTTTCATGGGTTGTTGATGACTGATATCTGCAGTGTTTTTAACTTTAAGGGACTCTCTCAGTTTAACTGCCATTCATACAAAACCCAGCATATATCACGATCATAGAGTGCGTTTAACTGAAGGTTGCTTAAACTTTGTTCAAGTCAACTTATGTTTGCAATCACTGCTAGGAATCTTTAATCTTTTTAATTTTAAAACCAGCTTTTAATTTTAAAACATTACTATTTGGAGGAGCAGAAGCAACATTCAAAGAACTAGAATGTGTACATAATTGAACCAATATAGAGATGATGATAATTTTAGAAGGGGTATCCCACCACAAAGCAACTTTATTTTTTTCCAGAGAAATGGGGGGGGGGACGGGACCCAGAGAATTTTATACAATGATCTTTTGCAGCAAATGCTACAATCTAGGGCCTCTGGTCCTTTCATCAATTATATGCATGAGTAATTTAGTTTCACCATTCAGCTTCAATGCATAAATGTTTGCAGGATCGTGTTCTTAAGACCCCTTCAATTAAACCCTTACGGGATAATAGCCTGCATTTGAGACACTAGCTTGTACTGACATGACAGATGGGGAAAAGAAACAAACAATAATAATTAGTTGTTCATTTTGATATACTTGTTATCTACTCAGAAGGGGAAAAAGAGTGAAACAATAATTTCCAGGATCATTATGTAAAAGTTAGCAAATATATCTATTTGTCATGTTCTTGAATACTTTTGTAATGATATGTGACGGTCCATACACATGGGTACTGTTTGTGCCTTTTCTATACAAGATTTTTACTAAATATATATAGCATGTATACCTAGGAGACACACAGTGATGATAAAACCATCCATCTTTAAAATCTTGCCATTTCTGAGCAGAAATTCCATGCAGTAAACGTCTCAATGTAAAATCCATAAAATCCATAAAAGGAGATCTGCCACTGAAATACTAGGATAAATAGCTGGTTTGCATTGCCCCTGGTCTTTATCCAACACTGAGAATAGACCGCTGTTTTATCAAAAGAGGAATAAATTGCTGTTATTGTGATGTTAGCCCATCACTTGGCATTGCAATTCAGGTTTTGTGAGAAAGAAATGTATGATCTAACTGCGATTTGACCTATGCCTTCTGTGATCCATATAGGTGCTCTAATGGAGCATAAAAAAGTGTAGAATGTACCATCATGTAAACTGATGGTAAAGAAATGCATTTGAGAAAAAGATGGAAGGGCATGGGAGTTTGTGTGCAACTTATTAAATCAGAGAAGAGAAGCAACAATTCAGGGGTAATTATTTTATTTTCATATATTTTGCCAATCAAGCACAAAATGAAGTATAACACCATTTGATCCCCCCACCCATGTTTAAAAATAGGTTTAAAAAAAGATGATAAGCTACTTAAGATGCCAAAAAGTGTTTCTTAAACCAGCAAGAAAACAAATCCAAATAGTTTTGTCTTAGGCTTTGAAAGGCATGCATTGCTTCTGGAACAAAAATGTTAATGAAAAGATGTGGGCTATGCCTGATGTTAAGAGATATTTTGGGGGAGTGAGAGAGCAAAGGAAAGCCCACAACTGCTACAGCACCCAACATTTCTCACACAAGGATCTATTTTTTTAATAGCAAGTATAGGGAACAGTTGCAGTTAGATTTCAGGACTGATAAAGACTCACTTTTCATTCATAGTCAGAGCACTCTTCTTGTACCTAAACAGATAATAAGTACTCAGCACACTCCCCCTTCTTGACACAACACACTGAGACTAATCACACATAATTGGAGAGGAGGAGCAGAGGGCTGGCCAACGCATTGTGTCCAGAGGACAAATGGTCAGTTCATGAGGCTTTGGTTTGAAGCAATAATTTCTAATACATCTACTGAGAGAGGACAAAAAAACCCCACCCCAACATAAAAACTCAACAATAAAACTCTGAAATTCCAAATCCTGTTGTAAAAAAAAAGTCAGATGAACAAACTGTTTGAAAAATTTCATTCTAAAAAGAAAACCCAAAAGGTAATTTTCAAAAAAATAGGCTAAGGGATAATGATAAGATGAACCCCTCATAAAATATGATATGATCTCAAATGTTGAACAGATATCAGCATCTGGTTTTTTTTCACTTACTTGAACAATAAATCCTTTAGCATTTTGCAGTTGGTCAAACACATTCTTCCAAATGCAACAGAAAAAAAAAAACATTTTTGCCACAATGAAGAAGTCATGTGTGAAATGACAGCCACAAAGGAAAATAGAGCTCTTAAGACTTCCAGCTCTCTTTTTTAATATAATGAACCCAAAGTTCTGAGAATGATCGCTCAGAGTTTACCTTTCCCATGAAATTATTATATACAGTCCATTTTGTAGTAAAAAAATATTGTTTTCCCATATTCTATCCTTCTTTGGTTAAAACAAGAAAAAATGGGTAGTGGAGATTTGGATCATAAATATCTTTTTCTTCTTTTTTCAGCTGCAAATAAAGAAACAGAAAGCAACAGTCAATTTGTTTTAATCATAGAAACATAATCTTTGCTAGTAAGTCTGTTTTTTTTTGTTTGTTGGATGAGTGGGTATCAAAGGAGAAAATAAACATTTGGCATAATTTTTATTTTCGTTTTTTATAATCACCAGTAATCAAAATTGCTGGTGAGAAAATATCATGCAGGGAGTAAATACGACTCATCTGGAATGTATAAATAAATGAAAGCTAAACTGTTTCCTAAAGGATAAGGTTTTAAATTTATGATTGATGGAACACTAAGATCATCAACAACTCTCAAACTTCAGTAGTTTTACATACTAATTCAGACTTACCACTTTGGCATATTCTTAGCAACAAAAACAAAGGTTATGTGAATTTTATAACTCAGTCAATGTAACATGTATTCATTCTTAAAACAAGTATTCATTTAGCCAGCTCTCCAGTGAGAACTTATTTACCAAGTTGTTGAATTTGACATATATCTTCTATTGGCACAAAGTACTGAATTCAAAAAGCTATCCAGATGAAAATCAAGTCATCTTACATTTAAAAAGACTTAACTGAAACAATTTCATATGTGTTTGGGGGGAGGGGGGGCAGAGGGAGGGACGTAATGCAAAACTGAAAGATAAGAGGAAAAGAATATGAAGTAGTGTTCCTTTTTCTTTAATATATAATATGTAATATGTAATACTCTAGTGTACATATGTGTCCTACAATATTATATATTCGAAATAGCTTTTGACATTTCTTTTTAGCCATTATATAAACATGAATTCACCAATGTCCTATTGTTTAATTCTGAAGAATAATTTACCATTTATGAGTAGTACAGTTTTCCCAACAACAATATTAGTCTGTTCAAATTCTCAGCCATGTTAAAAATGACAGTTTGGTTCTTTAATGTCTTTAATATTAGCACCAAGAGTTCTATGTGAATAAAATGGCTCATTAATTTTATAATAATATGCAGCATTTTAAATAATATCCAACTTACTGTTCAGGTAATGTTATTCTTGACATTCTGAGCCCAATTAATTATTGTAATTTTATAAAAACATGAAAAAAAAACCTTATGAGCCCATCCTTTGATTTACTTTGGCTGATGTACTTTGTTTTACAAGGTCATAGCAAATACCAAAATGTTGGTTAATACCAGAAATAAACTGTTTTTGTTTTGTTTTGTTTTGTTTCGGTGGGGTGATGGCAGCATGAATTTTCATGGGACACATTTCAAGTGATCTCTTGAAGCACCAAAAACACTCCATTGTTATAAAGGTTGACGATGATAATAATAATAATAAAGAAACACTTAATTTTTTTTAAAAAAAATATACAACATAATTTCCAGTTCAAAGTTTTCCCCAGTTGCATCTTAAGGTTTGTTTTTAGAAAGGAAACTTCATTTCCTTGAGGACTAAACTTCAAATGGCCATTCCTATTGCTCATAATCTCTACCTTGATGTGTCTTGGGTCAGCAGCTTCACTAACCTATACCCAGAAATAATATCTTGTAAACCCATAAGAAAAAAAAAATGTTCTTGTTTAGGAATGCAGCAGATCTGGTCTGCCCCCATGTCTCTTTTAACCTGAATTCTCTAGTGACCTCTGGTGGCCAGCCCAAAGGCTCCATTGCAGAGTTTAAACACAATCCAGACCCGGCTTCACTATTCCAGATTAGCAGGGGGATGTTAAACAAATAAATGCCACAAAGGCATATATTACTGCAACCTGTTATCCAATCGTAAGTGCATTGGAAACATAACATTATTGAACTCATATATGCATACACAGAAGCATTTGTAAATACTGCATATGCTTCAGTCCAGAATATTATGTAGAGTGTTATTGCGCACATCATGGTTGCACTTCTGAGCCCAATTAATTATTGTATTTTTATGAAACGGGGAAAAAAAACAACCCCTCGTGAGCCCACCCTTTGAATTGCATGAACAACTAAAAGCAAATTGTGAATAAAACAATTTTTCAATTTTGGAGGCAAGAAAAGGGAGGAGAGCAAGAGAGGCTGAAATAAATTATATGGCCACTCTTAGTAGCATTATGCTTTCCCTCCTAATTGGATGTAACACACTCAGACCCACAGGGTGAACAACAGCAACGGGAGCGGAATTCATACTGTTTACCCTTTACAGCAGCCACAATTATTAACTGCACACCAGACACATTATAAGCACTAGCCACTCGTAATGTGGTATTTCAAATAGATAAGGAGAAATATAACTATTCTTTTGACATCACATTCTGCTCTCATACCACAGCCTCAGCTGTTGCTTTTGTTTAGAAAACCATCCCGACTTTGCTTTGTCCCTGTTAAAACATAAATCTGTGCTACCCTCACCTTATATTTTGGTTATTTATCTCAGGAGAAGGGAAATATTGAATCTTTAATGAAACATACTCAGTTTGCAACATATATTTGGCAAAGAAGCATAACCTGCATCTCCTTATTTTTTTTTTTAAATAATGCATGAATTATTAAGAAAATATTCCAGAGGTTAGTGCAAGACTGATACATTGTGAAACCCAACCTGGGGAAAGGATGTGTCTATAGTTTTTAAACAAAAGCACATAAAGTATAGGCCCAGTTTTGATTACAGGCTTGTTTTTTGAAACGGAAATAAAATTTCACAGCTAACAATGAGAGGTGAAAAGTTTAAGAGGCAAAGCTGTTCCTCCTGATCAGTGCCCGTTAATCAGCTTCATGGGTGGTTGCCTAAATCTGTGGATTTTTTTTAATTGTTGTTACTTGCACTACTGTCAAGATTGTAACTAATTTTTCCCCCTCTTCCAAGAGGAGGGGTGAATAACTCGCCATAGAAGGCAGCTGTGGATGAGTGACATGAAGCACTAATGCAGAGGGCAAAATTAAAATTCATGAATCTCTTCACAACCATTTGTGTAACAAGATTAAGACGGGACAGCAGAAAATAGCTGCATTATCAGGCTTCTTACAGTTCTCCAGCTGGTTACGCTCTATTCCAAAACAGTAGGGATAAGAGGATAACACAGAGCCGAAAGGAAAATGCCTCTCCTCCTTCATTTGGGAGAAAACATGTCTGAGGAAAAGATGAAGCTTGGATAATGCAACCAGGAAGCATGATCCTACTTAACAACCAAACTTTTCACATAAATCCAGCAACAAAACACGAAGGTTCCAGTCAGCCCAGCAACCTTGCAATTGGAAAAAAAACAAAAACCTCCCCTCTTTTTCTTGGAAGAAGAACGAAGAAAATTCCAAAAAGTAGGTATATCAGCCATCATCAGTTTAGGAGAAAACTAACTAATGAGCCAGAAGGATGGGGAATATTTGCAACTGAGCTTAGGGGGAAAAAAAGTTTGATATCCAACCATAGGAGCATATCAAGTTTGCAGTATCTCTATTTTCAGCCGGTACATCTGTGCCTGAGCCCTCTTCCATTTCTGCACATTGCTGTACTGCCTCAGCTGCTGAATGCTATCGTTATTTACTGTGTAATTGTTTGTGTTGCTCTATCTTAATCCTAAAGAAGGAGTGGCTCTTTTGTTTCAAGGTCTTTCAAACGATATATAATTTACTGAGCAAAATTTACATCAATACAACAATCGATCACTGTATACTGCCCAGTGACTCTCACAAGGCAACCCTATGCATCAAAATAAAATGCATGAAATTCACTGAGACTGTTCGAAACAAATATGCGAAAAATCACTCGATTAGCATTTATGTAATGGAGGGCACTTAAATGACATTTTTCTTCTTTTCTAATTATTCTGTTATGAAGGAACGGATTATTGAAAAATCTACCCCCAGCAACTTTCCCTAACAAAGTTTAAACATATACTCAAGGAACTTTTTATTTTTATTTTTTTATTTTTGGAGAAGTAGAGAAAATTGCCCAAACCCCATGCTCTGATTCTAATTCTTTTTCAGTTATTAATCCCTTTTTGCCATTTCAGATTTTCAGCCACCCTAGAAGAATAAAAAATAAGACTCATACAAGAAATTTCTGCGTTTGTGAGAGAATATAGATTTGATTAATAAAAGTTTTACACATATTTCATTAATCTCTGAGCATAAAGTTTATAATTTATATATGCCCATGTAGGGAAACGTAATGAGTACTTTTTCCTCAAAGGGTGGCATTTCATGATTCTCAAAAAAACAAAAGGACCATGCATGTGAATGGCATTGGATGGCTTAAGCCCTCTCTTGTACCCTGGGGCTGTGGGGCTGGTGGCTATTTGTGATGAGGGTTTAATGATGACATCTGAGCTCTGGATAGGATGCTTCTCCTGATTAGGTTCTTTCAATGGTTTTCTCTGCCATAATAGCAGGTGTCCCCCTTTGTATTACCTGCTTAATTATCAACAAGTAACAATACAGGGAGTTTGAGAGATATGTTGTATGGGGCACTGGGGAGAAGGATGGAAGCTAGCACGAATGGTCATGGAAGCCAGCTTCATACAATTACTTCTCTAGTGCCATTATTTCAGAATAGTTTAGCTGACATTGAATTTTCTTGCTCTGAAAAGTGAATGTATCTGGGATTGATATAGTTTTTCAGAGCATCTCCTACTGTAGGAGAAACTGGGAATTGTTGTAGCTCAATATGTGGCCCACCAAATTAAATGCAGCCCATTATTAGTCATGTAAGATAATGCTGCCAAGCCAACACCTGTCTTCTTCTATTTTTGCTGTCCTAGAACTGCAACAACATTTCTATCAACAATATATCAACCGGCTGTTCTATCAAATACCATTCTACTGGCTTCTGTTTTGTTCTGCTTTGGTGCCCAAGTGGCTATTTTCTTCCTCATTCCTGTTCTAGTTGTGTAATTTTTTACAAGTTTTTGCAATACAATCCCATCTATCATTCTATGCACTATCAAAGGGAAAATGGAACATAGCTGGAACACAATTATTTTGTTATGTTTCTTAAACATGGGGTTCATCAGAGGCAAATGAAGAATAGCATCAAAACCCGAAA